AACTGCATCATTTAGGGAAAAAGGAGTGCACTATTTGGTACATGGCTCAAAGGACTGAAAAGTAACAAAAGACACTAAGACCTGATGTGGACCAATGGCTTCAACCTGGATTTCCTCAACCTGGTACTTTCCACAGGAGGCAGAAAGGGCCCAGGAAAGAAAGGCGTGGTCGCACAGAGAGCTGCCATATGGAAGGAAAATCCTGGGAGCAGAAGCATGTCTGAGAAGGTGTGTGTGGGCGTGCACAATGTGTTCACATATGAACATAGCTATGTGCTAGGTAGCAACCTTCATTGTTTCCTGTCCCAGGACCTTGTCCTTCCTCGACAACATGGTCTTATTACTGAGAGAGGGAGAAATTCTCCTGTGCATGTTTTGATGATGCACGGCCTATCACACATGTCCAGGGCAGGCAGTAACACAATCTAGGCCTCAGGGATCCCTTTTGGACTTTTAAATCACAGGGTAGAAAAGCGTAGTCCCTGGAGGGCCCTGGCTGTCGTGTGCACTGGAACTCCCAGCAGTATTGGGAGTATCTGTTCCAATGGGGATATATATATGTCTATCTGCTAACAATAGGAAAGTGTTGGCAGCCTATGAGAGAAGGAGGTAAATAATAGGTAGTGCCCTCTGCCAGTGATCAATGTACATACAGAGCAGCCCTCCCTCTCTACCTGTGCCTGTGCTTTGTGGGTCTGTAACTAGTAAAGTTAGGTTTGAATGCCTGAGAGTTGCTTAGTGTTGTGGTGTAATGCTTGTATTCCTAGCAACTGGGAGGCAGAGACAGATGTTCAGGTGTGAGGCTAATCTAGGTACAGTGTGAGACCTGTTTCAAAAACAAAACAAAACAAAAAACAATAAACAATAAGACCCTGGAAATACAAGAACTATAAGAAATATAAAACTGTAACTCATACATTAACCAACCACATGTACAAAACAAAGTTTCATATTGGCAGTTTTTGTTACTGTATAGTTAAATGAAATTTCCACAGAACTGTAAACAGAGAAACATTCACAAATAACTAATGCTGAAACTTTAAAAGACATTTGAAATAAAATACCAATTTTGTTTTCCATATCTATCTGGGTATCAGGGTGAGAGCTGTACAAAGCTCAATCTGCATTCTGAGCCTTGAAGAAAAGGAAGGCTGGGGCACAAAAGGGTGGAGAGTAGACAGTGAAGGGGAGATCAAACTTGTTCTTTTTTTAAGTTTTCAAAGTCTTTCAAACTGTTTTAAAATGTGTCATTCTAATGAATACAAAGAAAATAAGTTGAAAGAAACTATTTAGTTGAAGACAAAAAGATAAAATTACTTTTTAGCTATAGAAATACCCATAGAGTTTTTTTTTAAGTTTATTTATTGTGTGCCTGTGTGCACGTAAGTATACACGTGTCTTGTGTGTACATAAGGGCAGGTGTGGCTGGGTGGAGGTGTTGTGCTCGCCTTTAATCCCTGCACTCGGAGGAAGAGGCAGGTGGGTGTCTGTGAGCTCAAGGCCAGCCTGGTCTACTGAGCAGTTCCAGGAGAGTCCGGACCACTCAGAGGAACCCTGTGTCAAAAAAACAAACAAATAAAAAGAGCAAGTGTGCGCGTGTGTTGGCTTGAGCACAGGCTGGGAGACTGCACCAGGAATTCTCCTCCATCACTCTCTCCCCTTAACCTGGAGCTTGGGTTTCTGAGCTAGGCTAGAAGACAGCAAGCTCCAGAGAGCCTTGAGGGGTACTGTCTCCACCCCTCAGTGTTCAATCACAGGTGTGCACAGGCCACCTGATCTGTGCTGAGATCCAAGCTCTGGTCCTCAGGATTTCGCAATAAGCATGCTTAACCACCAAGCCATCTCTTCAGCTCCCTCATTTGAGGATATTACAAAGAGCAAACACTTTGAATAGAAACTTCCAGAAATAAAATTTGAGCCCCTCACAAGACAGCCAGCATTTTTTTTCATTTAGAAAGTCATCTGCATCTTTTATTTTTGGCTAATATAGCATTATTTTTGACACCTCTAGCCAAAACCATTCACATATGAATGTCTACTAGAAAAGGCAGAAGATGAAGCTACAGCTCTGTTGGATGTTTGAGGCCCTGGTTTTGGTCTTCAGGTCCACACAAGAGACGTGGAAGTGCAGGCACTCAAAAGATAGATCAAGGCCAGCCTAGAATACATGAAACTTTATCTCGAAAAAGTAAACTGATTAAAGAAAAGAAACCAAATTGCTTAAAATGTTCTATTTTTTAAATATTTATTTATTTACTTACTTACTTTTATGTACAAGTGCTCTGTCTGCACTACAGAAGAGGGCATCAGATCTCATTATAGATGGCTGTGAGCCACCATGTGGTTTTTGGGAATTGAACTCAGGGCCTCTGTAAAAGCAGTCACTGCTCTTAACCACTGAGCCATCTCTCCAGCCCCAGTGACTTCCTATTTAATTTATTTTTATTTGCAGTACACATTACTTGCCTGATCTGGTCTGACCTTTGTGCTGAGTTCCACAAGAAAACTGCTCATCTCTGGAGAGCTACACCCTCCTTCTGGGAATCCCTGCCCTGGTCGCACCAGACTCCATGTTGGGGAAGACATGCTGGGGTTCTTGGCTTTCACAGATTAGAAACACAGGACTGACTATACCACTCGAGAGCAGGAACAAAAAGAGCTGAGTCTTGAGGAAGTGAAATGCTACCTGCCACTTAGACTCCTTGGTTACCGGAAACACAAAATGTCACATGTCTGAACTACTGTTATCCAGGGGACATCTCACCATGTTCTGTGGACATATATAAAATCCCCCAGGATCCTAACGGTACAATGTCAGGGTAGGGCATCTTGTGCCCAAGTGGCTTCTTTTGCGCTGTGCTTCTCCAAGCTGCACAGCCCGCTGGTTGCCATGGATACACTGTGATATCTGCTCTACGACTAATTTCGCACAGACCAAGGTGCCAGCTGAAATGCTGACTTTTTAAATCTTAATCTGGAATATATTCTCCTGCCTGAACCAGCTCTAACAAAATGGAAGACATAATTTTAGGACTGACACTGATAACTGGGACTTGGGGGTAATAAAGCAAGCCTAAGCCTGTTTGTGACAGTGGCCATGGTTAATGTGGGTCCACAGTCCCTTCTGTCAATCTTCCCGAAGACCGGAAATCTGTCATAAAGACACTCTCTTTCTGATGACCTCTTGCAGCCGCACTCAGCCTGGGTCACCGCACTTCTTGCATTTATCCTGGCACTCCCTAACACTTGGAGCTCTCATGTACCATGATGATGGAGGGGAACAAAACTAGTAAACTAGGAGAATTCAGATGATGCAAACCCTTGATTAACAGGCGATGCTACTAAAGTTAACCTAAATTTCCAAGCTGAATTCTTCTACCAACCTGCCCTGTCTTCTAATTTTAAAGTGAGAGCATCCTCAATGGAGAGGGCAGGGTTTAAATGTTATGGACATATATAAGCTGAGGACAGGCAACTCTTGGTCCTTGGTCCAGTTGCTCTTGGTCTTTACAAATGAGGCCATCATTTGTAACCTATTCTCTGTCTTTCTCACTGGGCCTCTTACCCCAATTACCTCTAAAATAATAAAAGCAGTTTATTAAATTCTCACATAAACCCCCACAAGGCAAATGTCATCACTGACCCCACAGATTAAAGAACTGAAACATGTCAGGCAACACCTGGATCCAAATGCAGTAAGTTCGACTTAAAACAGCGCCGCACACCACCTTCTACATGGCTCTGCTTACACCGCAAGGCTGTCTCTCTCCCGGAAGTGCTCTGAGGAGGCAGTGGGCAGTGCTCTTACCTGGTCCATCCAGGTCCTGAGTCTCCACACAGACAGAGCTGTCTCACCAGGTCACTGATTTCCTCGCCTTTGAGTCCTGTTTCTAGGGTAGCCCTGCTGTTAGCTCCTTGGCTTCCTGCTAAGGCTACTCTCCAAATTGGTTTGATGACAAAAATCACCTGAGGAACTTGCTAAACAGACAGCCTCTCCCGGTCCTATTCTCGGAGACTCTGATTCATCGAGTCTGACATGGCCCCAGAAATGTGTATTTTTAACAAGTGCCCCAGGGGATTCTTCTCTTCTGCAGGTTTGAGAAACGCTGCTCTGGGAGTTTTAGCCAATGGGAACAACCACCACTGCCTTCGGGATTATGATTGAATCAAATTTTACCAGGAAGATCGCATTTCTATAGCTGCATTAATCCAAAGTGCTTAACACATATGGCACAAAGTGGTTCTGGTTTTTTTCAGGGAGGATGGGATCTCGTGCTGGGTGAATTGGGATGTCTGTCTGTGTGTTTTTTGTCTCCTTTTCAAGTGATGACTGTTGAAAGAATTCTTTAATGGCTGTGCCCGTGAGGGAGTTTCTGTATTTGCTCTGGTCATGGGACAGCTTAAATCAAATAGAAAGTATGTCATCCAATACAGTTCTTTTAAGTCTACCCATGAGAATTTTGAACAAGAGAAAATTAAATAAAAAGGAGAAAGGAGTTTATAGAGTTTTTTTCCTTGAAGGACCCTAAAGCAAATTTTTTATATAACTGAGACTGAAGGACTTGGGCTTTTCAACTTAAATGCTTATGAACCATGCACAGAATGATTTAGACTATTTTATAAGAGATTAATTTAATTTATAGACTGTAATCAGATGCAGAAATGATCTCTGATATTTACAAAATCAAATATAAAATTGTTGAAACTCATGACTAGCAAATTGTGCTTAGTGTTAGTAAAGACCTCAAACACGCCTAACGCACCAACACACTGCTTGCTGCTTGTCACAGGGCATTTCCACAGTGCACCTGTCAGAGCTGAGTCAGAAGAGGAGGGGAGGATAAGAACAGAAAATGATATTAAGAGACTGACTGTAAGTGGGGTTAAGAGCACCAGCCTTCCTGCCCAGTGGGACACTCAGCCCAAGCCTTGTTTCTGAGAGGGCAGTGGCATCAGGGACAGAAGTCTGTCTCCAGTTACAAGTTACAAGACATACCTACCTCTTGGTGGGAGTGGGCACTCCAGAGGACATGTGGCTAACCACGGTGTCGTTCATATTCGTCAGAGGACGAGGAGGACTGAAAGAAAAGATATTTACATTAGTAGTTACCAGGCCTGGAGGAAACAGAAGAGGAATGCAGCAAAGGAACGGCTATGGTCCTTAACACACCCAGGGCGACGGCTGTGGGCTCAGACAGATTCTTAAGGCTTACATACATCAACAAGATGGGCTCCCACTCAAAGGCCAAGTGCCAGAGCTGTAGCAAACCAGGGAGGCAACAGATTATGAAGACGTTACTTTGGAGAAGGGTGTATTGGCATATCCTGGGATTTCAGGGCAGCCTGGGCCAAAGGGAGCAGACTGCCTCACCTCCCAACACACACAGGGATAAGGCCTATTCAGAGCGGAACTGCTTGCTCCAGCCTCACAGTTTTCATACAAGAGAATAACAATCCTTTCACTTGCTTATTAGCTCATTCTTTTGGCGGGGGTGGCACCCTGGGAATTGAATCCCGTGCCTTGAATATCCTAGGCAAGTGCCCTATCAGCTGTCATCCCATTCTGACTTGGTTTTAGTTTTTTTTGTTTGTTTTTATGAGATAGAGTCTCATCATGGAGCCCAGGCTGACCTCAAAATGGAAATCCTTCTACCTTGGCAGTCTGAGTGGCTGGCATATGCCACCAAGTCAGTCCATGCCACTTACTCTTAATTAATTTTAATCTGTTTTTTTTCCTCTGTCTTTAAAAAAATTACCTGTGTGTGTCTATGTGTGTAGTATGGGTGTGGGCATAGGGTCTTTACCCATTGAGCCACCCTTCTAGTATTCATGTCTGGATTAAACACAGGTCACAGTGTCCACATACTACTTTCTCTGAGATTCAGTAAGTTACAGCTCATTGTTCAGCTACATTCAATTCGCAAGTGTGTTACCAAAATATTTATTTACTTTTATTTTTTCTGAGACAGGATGTCATGTAGCCCAGGCTGGCATCAAACTTGCTAGACTGCCTAGGGTGACTTTGAACTTGTCCTGATCACCTGCCCCTACCTCCCAACTGCTGGGGTGAGAGATGTGTGCCACCACACCAGACTCCAAAGTGTCTGATTCTTAAATACTAAACAAAAAGTAATATTCTGCTCATGCCTGGTATTATGTCCTGGTGAAGAGCCCATGGCTAGGGAGATCATAGGTCATATGGAGCACCTATTACTGTTGCTTTGCTAAATGGACATACTGTGGGCTGCCTTCTAAATACACCTATACCTAAAGAGCAACGCTTCCCTCAGCTTTGTCAGAGAAGCTTCTTTTGGCAATGGCCAGCAATTAATGGAAAAACTCCCACCTCAAAGTACTGAGAGTGGGTAACTGCTGAGAGCTGGGTCCTGAACTGGCATTGTATCACTCCACCCAAGGCTCCAGGAACATTGCAAAAGAGAGAGCAGATGAATCTGTGAGCCAGTGGACGGGGAAGAGTGCTGTGGACCTGTCTTCTGGGCATGAAACGGCTGGTTCACTCACAAGCTCATTGCAGCTGCGGTCTCCTGAACAAGACCTGCACAGAAGTAGACCTGTCAGCATTTTCTCGTGCATGGGAGAGGGGCCCAGGTTCATGAGGTTCCATTTTTTTTTGAGATACCACTGCGGCAGTTAGTGGCCGTTGGGAAGAGGGGTGTCACTGTCTTCAGTGGTATAGCCACTGATAAAGTTATTCAAGCTCCAGGAAGAAATATTCATTTAGTTGCTGGGTCCTCCTTGTCTCTGAGAGAGTAGCTTGCACACAATGGTTTGAAGACGCTACATTAACACAGCCCTGGTGACTGCGACGGCGCTGCTACTTTACAGGTTGCACACAGTACATTCATGCAAAGTTTCTGGGGAGTTAGCTCAGGGAGAGCCAGAGGGCTCAGAGGAAAAGGGAGATTTCTCTCTCCACCTACCATCCCTCCACACCTTCCTTAAACTAATTCCATTTCTGAGTAAGGAACCTTTAAAAAATAATTTCCCATTTAATGGGGGAAATTCAAAATGGAAAAGTGGATGCAGGAAGTAGATCTGGGGCAGAGTCAGGCCTCTGCATTTTTTGTTTGTTTGTTTGTGTAGGCAGGATCTCAGGAGATAGTCCAGGTTAGCCTCCTGCTTCACCCTTCCAAGTGCTGTGATCAAAGGCCCGAGTCACAGTGCTTGGCTTGGACTTGGCCTGATAACGTGCCTTCCCAGGCTAGACTTCAATTCTAAGCTATTCGTCTGCCTTCCTGTCTCCAGACAAACATCTAAACCTTCAAGCCTGTTAATGCTAATGGTTGCACTGAGTTATAATCAATTAATCAATTGCTTTAGGCTGACTAACGATGGGAGAGAATGGATAGATTAGCTTACTTTTAGTCCTAAATTTATACTTTGGCCTCTGGGTCCTTTAAATCAATTGTCCTCTGTGAAACAAGGAGCTAATTCCTATGGAGCAACCAAGTCAGAGGAGCAGCTGTTCACACTCTAGGGGCACCAGACACATGCCGGTCAGGGACAGAGCAGGCTTGGCTTCTCGGTGGATTATTACTAGTGACCCACTTCCCAAATGATGACATTTCATGTTGCTTTCAGAACCAATGTAGTTACCTGCTTTACTTCAATATTAAAGACACCACTGTATCCATTTTCCTGTTGACATTCTCAGAGGAAATAAATATAGTAGAAAAAAATTAATTTTTCGAACATGAGTACATGTGATAAAATGTCATGTCTTGTTTGGTCTGATGCCAGAAAAGTCTTCCTATCTCTTGGCAGCCAACTACTTATTAACTTTTCATACACAGAGAAACCTCTTCTCTAACGTGCAAAGCCAGAGACTCACGATTACATCACATTCTAGAAATTCTCATACCCTGCCCGCAAGACCACATCCTTTCTAGACATCTACCATGTACTAAAGAGACCACGTGCTTTACTGGCCAATGAAATCGGCACTTTCAAGGCTCAGGATGGTCTTTAGAATGGGGTCACTGCCAGAGCTGCAGCCCATTGAAGAAGCCAAAAGTACCAAAGAATTCTTAGAAAATACCTATTGGGGACTGGAGAAATGACTCAGTGGTTCAGAGCCCTGGCTGCTCTTCCAGAGGACCTGGGATCAATCCTAGCACCCACCAGGCCTGTAACTCCAGTTCGAGGATCTGACCCCCTCTTCTGGCCTCTGCAGGCACCAGGCATGCATGTGGTGTACAGACATACACACAGACAAAACAGATAAACACACACCATAAAAAATAATAGTTTCCTGTTTGCCAATAAGATACCCCCCCCCATGAACAGATAGAAGCAGATCAATGACATAGGTAAAAGATGAAGATAATTTGCTAGTATTAAAGAAGTTTTAAAAATGTTTGGAGTCTCTCCCTCTCCCTCTTTCTCTCTCTGTGGGGGAGGGGGAGGAAGAACACAGAGGTAGATGTATATACATGTGTACAAGTGTGCAAACATGTCCTGCTCTACCATGCTGTCCTTATTCCCTTGAGACAGGGTCCCTTACTGGACTTAGAGTTAGGCTGACAGACAGGAGCCCCAGAGGTGGATCCTCCTGCTCGCACCCTATAGTACTGGGGTTACAGGATCATGTGTCCTCACCAGCACAGCTTTTTATGTAGGTTCTGAGAGTTCAAACTCAGGTCTCAGATTTGTGCAGCAAGCATTCTTACTGTCATTTCCCAGCCCGGGTCTTTTTGACTTTTGTTTGTTTGGAGACAGTCTTGCTATGAAGCACAGGCCTTGCAATCATCCTGACCCAGGCTCCTTTTTGCTAGGAATTTGGGTGGAACCCAGGGCCCTGTGTATAATAGGCAAGTGCTCTATCACTGAACTACACCTATTACAGTTGTGGGTCACAGTGCCCAGTGCTTATCTATTTCTCTTGCTTTCCTTTTTCTTTTTTCTTTTTTCTTTTTTTTTTTTTTTTTTTTTTTTTTTTTTTTTTTTTTTTTTTTTTTTTTGGTTTTTCGAGGCAGGGTTTGGAGAACCCTGGCTATTCTGGAACTCACCCTGTAGACCAGGCTGGCCTTGAACTCATAGATCCACCTGTCTCTGCCTCCCTAGAGAGCTGGGATTAAGGCCTGTATCACCACCATCCCACTATTTGTTTTATTTTTTTATATGAATAATTGTTTGTGCACCACACATGGCCCTGGCACCTGAGGAGGTCAGAAGAGGGTGTTGGATCCTTTTAAACTAGAGCTATGGATGGTTGTGAGGCATCATGTGGGTGCTTGGCACCAAACCCAGGTCCCCTAGAAGAGGAACTGGTGCTCTTAACCACTGCACTGAGCATCTCTCCAGCTCCTTGCTGTCATTTGTTTGTTTGTTTTGAGACAGGATCTCACTATGTAGCAGGTTGTCCTAGAACTTGCTCTGTAGATCAGGCTAGCCTTAACTCACAGAAACTCAGAGACCTGCTGCCTCTGCCTTAGTGTTGGGGCTGCCTTTTTATTTCTTCTTCTTCTTCTTCTTCTTCTTCTTCTTCTTCTTCTTCTTCTTCTTCTTCTTCTTCTTCTTCTTCTTCTTCTTCTTCCTTTTTTTAAGATTTATTTATTTATTGTGTAAACAGTGTTCAGCCTCCTTGTATGCCTGTAGGCCATAAGAGGGCACCAGATCTCATTACAGATGGTTGTGAGCCACCATGTGGTTGCTGGGAATTGAACTCAGGACCTCCGGAAGATCAGTCAGTAATCTCCAGCCTCCGCCTTTTTTATTTATTTATTTATAACATTTATTTATTTATACAGTATCCTGCCTGTAGGCCAGAAGAGGGCACCAGATCTCATTACAGGTGGTTGTGAGTCACCATGTGGTTGCTGGGAATTGAACTCAGGACCTCTGGAAGAGCAGTCAGTGCTCTTAACCGCTGAGCCATCTCTCTAGCCCCCCACCTTTTTATTTATTAATTAAAGGATAAGAGGCACATTTCCTGAGTACATATTCATAAAAAATAAGATTCTTTATCGGAACAGTTAACTAGACATTTATGGTGACAGACGTGCAATGGCCATGCCAAGAAGAGCAGACACAGACACTGGGGAGTGGCAGAGGAAGA